ATTGATACCGGGAATTTGTTTTGTCATTGATTTTTGTCGAAATCAATCCAAATTATTTCATAACGTAAATTACATTATCTCGATACATTTGATAATTTTGTAAAATATTTGATCGATTTCTAATCACCTACCTATTTTCAAAATGAAAGAAAATCTATGGCCGTCAAAAGTATTTAAACCTCTTCCAACGGAAAAAATGACTATCCGATCATGGCGTATGTAATTAAACGATTGCAGCCATGGGCGTAGCGTGAGTGAGGCTGGGGGGCACTTCCCCCTCCTGCGCCTCAAACTGAATTCTATTTGTGTATAACAAACGTATAAGTCTTACATTAAAATCAAAAATTAAATAAGATATAAGTCTAAAAATAGTTCAATAGTTGATGAAAAAAAAGAAGAGCTGCAACAGAAAATTCTAAGCAGATTTTTGCGAAGATTCAAGACGATTGACATTGTTATAATATAAAAATTATAATATATATAAATACTTGTAAAAATAAAAATGTGTTATATTTTGCCCTCCTGATTCAAATCCTAGCTACGCCCATGGTTGCAGCAATTCTTATCTCACTACGAAAAATAATAATAGCCATCATTTGTTGGTAACCTTTTAACCTTTTATTTAAATCTTTAATATATAAAGGTAGTCACACACGGTCCAGTCGGCCTGTCAGTTATGCCTGCACAGGCCGCCGGAGACCGGTCGGCCGGACTGACGCAGCGCTCACATACGTTCCGGCGAATCTGTCCGGCCGCGGCAAGTTTGTATTTATTTTATACTGTAGAGACATGGCTACCAACGAAGACGCGCTTGCTGTTTTAGGGTTGTTGATAGCCATGAAAAATAATAAAATTAAAAAACGTCCCTTTTGCATTTATCATGGTATTCTCTAGATTTTATTTTCCACAAACAATGTTCGCTTCGGTAAATATTAATAAAATCTTCAATACACTGAGATTCTTTCTCTCGAGACATTTTTTAATGACAAAACTTCACAAAAGTGCAGAGCAGTGCAATATGCAGTGTAGTATAAACACGTGGACTGTGAAATAAAATTAAACCGTCTGGCAATTTGGCCGGACGGCCGGAACCCATACACGTTTCGATACGCCTGCGCAGTCCCGCGGTCGACCGGATGGACGAACGAGTTTTCATATTTTCTCCGGCGGCCTGTACAGATATAACTGTTCAAGCGACCGGAACCCACAAACACAACGGCCGACCGGTCTCCGGCGGCCTGTGCAGGCATAACTGACAGGCCGACCGGACCGTGTGTGGCTACCTTTAAGGTACCTTTAATATATATTCGTACAGAGATCAATGATTGGTAGTGTAAGTAATGTACATCAGTTTATAGACGCATAGATTAGTAATGATAAAAATCGAACGGTGCAGGTAAATCGACACGTAGCCAACAGTCATTGCCGCGGCTTTAGTTTCAGCGTGGAAACCTACAACGCGCACACATCATAATACAATGGGACTCGCCAATCGACGTGTAGAATTCGACCCTGTTTAGTATCGCGTGTGCGCGTACGATCATATTAAAACTATATCGTACGAACGATATCCATTCTCTACGGTTGAATGAAATTCGTTTACTTTTAGACGAACGTCCACAATTGAATCGCATAACAATTAAATCACGACTCATCGTATTCGGACTGTACACAGTATGCGACCGCAAGCGATTGTAAGCGCAAATGACTCTACCGAACCTCCTCTTAACTTGTTGAGTGCCGTGGTCGACACGTAACCGACAATAATTATTATTATGAATGTCACGTTAACTATTAATGTTTTCATGACGTATTTGTTTACCGGCCAATCTTTTCTACGGTCTTAAGCCGGAATCACATATAGCGCGACGATTTTTTTTTCACACTGAGATCGTACGAACGCGTGTATAAGAGCGCGAGTGCATTGAAACAGCATATATATACACGATATGTTACGCTTTAGGGGATGTAATGTTAACTAATATACATCTTCACCCCCCCCCCCCTCGTTCATGATTCGAGCCAAAAAAAAAAAAATATATGTACATTATGTACGTGTATATATATATATATATATATATTATGTTTACTATAGAACAGAGGTTCCCAAAAGTGGGTCCCGTTATATTTTTCATGTGTTTCTATTACTTATGGTTGATGCATAATTATTTAGTTAGTTTTATTATTAACTGTTAACTGCGTTTGTGACAATTATAAATTTACTGCGACCAATAGACATAATAATATTTCTTTGTATGATTATGCTCGACTGTGTCAACACAACGCAATCGGATTAATGATTATTGAAAATATAGCAATATATTTCAAACAAATTAGTACTTGTATGACGTTCAAATAAATTGATTATTTTCAGTAACAAACGGTACATTGAATACGATACATGCCCAATATTAAACCTGCGGGATTTAACGTGTTCAGCCGTGACCGAGGGCACGTTTCGTTTATCAACGGACAACGAACATTATTAATGTGCGACGGCACGAGGCGCCCTAACCCGATGACTGCCGGTACCTGTAACAACGCGCCAAATGTAATGCGGTTCATAATAAACTCGTAATAAATGCTCGGGAAACGCGCCGGTGGGATCACACCTCCATATGTTTGTATTATTTAGAACAGCAAAAGCGGTGTTTTTTTTTTTAACCACAGACGAGTGTATTCGAATCGTCCTCGTGTGTGGTCTACTTCAATGTGTACTGTAGTAGATATAAGAATACATTTGATCATTTTAATCTCTTTCTGGTGACGTTGATGGGCTCGTTTATTCAACGCATTTGGGTTGTATACGTATATATTATGATTTTAATATTTCTACGTTTTTACATTTTCACGTTTTCTATAGCAGTCAATAACGGTTTACCTAAAATAACTTATTGTTGTCGAAAATGTTAACTAATTAACACAAATGTATTTCAATAGCTATTATACACGCAGGACTTCTGTTTAAAACCTTTATTATCTATAATTATGAAACTAATTATTGTATTTTCAATCGCTATACTTTAAGTTAACCATAATAACTTCTTTCATAAATTCATTTTTTCAAGGTTAAAATTATAATATATACGTAAATGTTAAAGACGTCGCGTTTGAATTTAAAAACCATTAACTCTGAATTATTTTATCCTACTATACTCGTATAGTTGTTTGTGGAATGTTTGATGTGTTGAACATTTTAAAATTGATCAAATGAATGTCAAGTTTTTTTTATGAATATAATATCTTATGACTTATTTCATATTTATTTTAAAGAAGTTTTACCGAACAACAATTAAAAGTATTACAAAAATCAGAATTTTATTTTTATAACTGGATGAAGATAATACTTTTTTAAATTGACATCAAATAGGTAGTAAATAATTTATAACCAAAAATCATAAAATACAGTAAAACATATACATTCAGTATTGTTGTATAACTTAGTTGAATTAGTTGTATTAAAACTATTTTAAAAATATAAATAAAAATTTAATAAAAATTTATGATGTTTACTTTTTATAAAAATGATTCATAATAATTTATTTTTTATGTGTTCAGGTGTCATATTTGTCTTATCACGTGTTATATGTTTATAAATACTAAGTTATTTTTCCACATCTATTGATGTCAATAATACATTTTCATATTGGTCATAGAGCAAACAGTGAAGTTTTCTAAAAGTTATATTTTGTTGTTTTTTTCTGATATGATTAATCCGATTTGTTTTATTACAGTGGCGTATTTGAGGAGAGGCGATAGAGGTGATCCTCCCCATTGCCCAAGTTATTTGTATATATTATAAATTTATGTTAAGAAAATATTACATTTAAATTTAAAATTTTTAATCAGTCATATTTTATAAGTGAGATTTACGCTTCCATTTTTCATATTAATAAAAACATCAATAACTTTATCATTAGAATCCGACGTATACGTCTATTACGATTTATAATAATATAATACAATGGTATAAATAAAATATTTTCGTTGATCGTAACCCGTGACAATAGATTAAAAATACGTTAACGTATGTATGATATAAAAATAACTTGGGCCCGGATTTAAATGCATTTAAAACCATATAAATATGGTTTAAAAAATAGCCAAAAAAGTTCTTAAAAAATGCATTTTACCACAAAAATGACCTTAAAAATAAAAAAAATGAAATATATTTTTTTATTTAGGCCATTATTTTATACACTATTTAAGTACATTAAAATCACAAACACACATAATACGAGTAATGACTGCGATGTACACGAATTGATTGATTATTTATTATTTGACCGAATACTGGTGACGTTCCACAGTCAATAATAAATTGAGAAAAATCCGATATACCTACTTAAATGTGAGTAACCGAATTGGTTCCCGTGTGGAAAAGATATTTTAATAAGTTAGGCCGAATTGGTTCCTGTTTGTGTACAGGTAATTTTTAATTTGGTACAAAATATAAATTAGACAGTATAAAATATAAATGTACCTACACGGCTACACTCTATAATCTATAGTATAATATACAATAAGATGGCATTATATTTATATATTGGAAGTTTAGCAAATTATCGGTGATATCCCGATCAATTAAGATAACGATTGAGATATATGTACTTTTATAGCTGTATATCGTCTATATTATCCTATGTACGAATGACAATAATGTCGGTGAGCAGTGAGCACTGTACAGTCTTGAATAACACATCGTGTACATTTGTAACTTGTATTTCGTATTTTAATTTATATTTTTGAATTTTAATTTTTCGTAATTATGGAGTTTATGTTTAGTGAAAAGGGAACTAAGTTGTTGATTATTGACAATTACAAGTTTGGATTCCAAAAGAACCTAGCAGATAACATACAGAGACGGATATGTACAAAACGAAAATGTAAAGCATACGTTAAATTGAACGGAGATTGTTTATGTGAAGAAGTATAACCATAACCACGTAAGTGAAGACGATGGTAAACTTGTGCAACAAAAATTGACAAATTCACTAAAAAGAAAATGTGACGAACTTATTACAGAGCGACCATCTAAAATTATACGCAAGGAAATAGTTTCAAACAGTCATAGTGAGTTACTACTTCAAAATGATATTAACAAAGTCCGTAAAAATTTGAATGCTGCTAAATTCATAACAATTCCCAAGTTACCTTCTAATCTTGAAGAACTGCATAAAAGTGTCAGTGAATATTCGTTAATAACTAATCTCGGAGAAAACTTTATTTATGACAACGATTCTGTCAACAATATAATTACATTTACATGCCACTTAAATATCAAGAAAATAATTTATCTCTCGATTTCATTTTGAATAGGCTAAATTTGTTTAGTATATTGAACAAATATGCATGAAAAACCAACAAAATGACCCAATAATACTAAAAATGCTCTAAAAATGAAAAAACGTCGAAACATGAAAAAAAAGCAAAATAAAATTTGTAGTTTTGAAACCCTCGTTACATGAAACGAATTATGGTCTTAGAAAGCATTGTGTATGATCATCCAAAAAAATATGCACTTTGCATTAAAATCCAGGACCTAATAACAACTAACCCTGTACAGGCATAGACATATTAATATATCTATGTATTCGGGTTATTCCATAATATAACGGATTTCTTGTTAATATAATATTTAATAATATTGTACAATGTTCGGTTATTTTTTTACTTCGGTCGTTATAAATGTCGACCTGACACCCCTCAGATAATTGGTGAATGACTAGTTCTGTATGAACTTGTACGCATATTTGTTTAATTTAATACTAACCAATTTTTCAGCTATCCAAATCAACATACTAATTATGTTTACCCTAGAACTAAAACGTCACATAAAAAAAATTGCATACTTCGTTATTTTATGCATATTTCATGCATATTCTACACATTCACACATTTTTGAGAGAAAAATTACTCAATTTATAATTAATTAAAAACTGTATGGTATTATTATATTTATATACTATATATTATACACATCGCCCGATGCCCATGTAGACTATGTATTATCGTAGGTACCTACCTATTTTAGGTGGGCATTTGGATTAAGTTATCTTTAATTTTATAACGTCGTAGCAATTGGCAATTAAGTATCTGTATTAAATTTAATATCAATATTATTATTTATCTGATAGTAATCTTGTTAGTGCCTATGGTGTTGTGTCGTTCGATATACGTAACTTTGTGCCGTTCGCTGTGTTTTCCGCGTTTATATTTTTCTCTTAAAGTTCACATAATGTCAAAAATAAATGGAAATATATTATATAAGTATGTAAAACAGTTTGGTAAAGATTCATTTGCTACCGATGATACTATGCTTTATTGTAAGATTCGAAAAATCTATACTAGCTGCTGACAATTGCCGATCATTCGATGAAGAAAATATTTTAAAATAACATTAGTTGTGCAATGCAATGATTTATCTTTTACTTCACTGAAATATAATTTTTTTGTGCATATTATTTTGCATATTTTTCCAATTTTACCTCCTATAACTTCTCTGCCCTACTCATTACAAATATGTAACTGCATACAAATCCTGACTCTAGTTATAAGATATTTTTAGTGAACAATTTCCTCCACAAACTATTCATGTGCTGCAGAAATGTAGAAACTTGTAAATTACTTATAACTACAATTAATTTGTAGTACAATCATGTACAATTATTGTAATCGCAATCTTTAATTATTAATTATATTACGATTTACCCAACACTGGTTATTAACTCTTATCGGGCTGTTGTTGTTATTCAGGGCTAAAACTTAAAATAAATAAAAATTATAAAAATCAACGTTTAAAATCGCCAAGTCTGTACATTTATAAACGAATGCGTAATTTAAATTATTATTATTTATTTTAATTAATAATTATTCGTTCTGTAAAATTGTATTGGCTGTATAAAATATGTTTAGTGTTATATGAAATAATAATAAATTGATGTTATCCAATAACCTCGGCTATCAAGTAAATGATATTCGATGATATATTGTTTTCTTGTTAATTGATTCATTAAAACTGATGCATGTGGTCGGTTTTCTACAACTCGTGCGTTTGACGAACATAATACAGCATAATACATAACATAACATAATACATATTATGTACCAAATAATCGTCTTACTTAAGGGGATTGCATACCGTCCATTTCTAAGGAGTTCAATAGGCAATAATATTAGTGCGTGCATGCGAGCTGTGCATGTGTATGTGTAGTAAATGATCATTAGTGTTAAGCTCGATTCACACTAGCGGTCTCGGTTCGGTCCGGTCACGGTCAAGTAAACATCGATAGTACGTAATCCAACGGCATCGTACACAACACTATCGATCACGGTCAAATCACGGTCAGGTCCAGTCAAGTTTCGACCGGTCGATGCACGATCCAGACCGCCGCGGTCACAAGCTTTTTGATCGAGACCGCCTAGTGTGAACAGTCAACCGCCGCGCTAAACTCGGTCGTATCCATTGTTTTGATTGTTTTTTGAACACTTTTGTACACTTTGGCAACGTGCAGATAAAACTTGACTGATTGTGACCGGTAGTGAGAACTGTACATCCTTGACCGTGACCGGAACGAACCAAGATCGCTAGTGTGAATCGAGCTTTAGTGACGGTGTAGCGGGGTCTAGCAGGGTCCAGCGATAACGACTACAAATTCCGAGTACTCGAACACAAATAATAATTTCAGATTACGGCTCGACTGATTTTAATGGCATAATTTTTTTGTATTCTTGTTAGGTATGAGAATATATACTTTTCACCTATTTACCCCCACCACCATTATAGATTGAATCGCTACATTGTAAACTAAATATACAATTCATAAATCTTCAAAATATCTAGTTGACTTATAAAATAAAAATAATAGATATCTGTAACATAAATAATTTATTATTATGTTAAGTACTTTGGTAGTATAGTAGATATTATAAATTATAATTGGGCGCCAGTGTACCGTACGTGTAACGTTCTACGAAAAGCCACGATCACCGATAACGATGCATTGTAATCGCTTCGGTGTAGTTTCTATCGAGGAGGGGGAAGGTCGCTCACGCACGTGCACGAGCATGTCACTAATCTGTAATCGCGCGCGGCACCGCTCACGAACGGCTATTGTTTTTTGGTAAAAAACATGTACTTTTTGTCAATCATACTGAATAATCTACTAATGCGATAAGAAATCTGAAAGCAGATTTGAATTGGCTGTGAAGTTTTCTTGAGATCGGTCATCCTACTTTTTGGATTTTTTTTCTCAGATACAATATATTCACTGTTTAATAATTCTAAAATGTTTAGTTTTAAAATCATACTTAAGTGGAGTATGAAAGTCAAAATTTAAAAAAAATGCTCTGACCGATCTCAAGTAAACCTTATAAAAAATTTAAATATGTTTTCAGATTTTTTATCGCACAAGTAGTTTTGTCGCTACAAAGGACAAAAGTTAGGCATGTTTTCGTCAAAAAAACGAACGGTATCGAATCCCCATAAATTACTAAAATTTTCCATTCCAACGAATGCAATTATTCGTCCGTAATTCACCGCGATTGATACGTGACAAGGACCGTTTTTAGATTTACCATTTACGATAAGTATTGTTTCGATATTTGATAACCAGACTTAAATGGTAAATAACCGTTGCATCGGGAGAATTGACGATTACCAATTTCGCTTATACAATTTCCTATGACACGTGTCGTTTACTTTATCCACGAGAAGGTAGCGAATAACAAATTACACCGAATACCGAATAATCCGGCTTAAAACACGCAATTTCAAATAGTTTTAAATATAATTAAATTAATGTAGAAATTACATTTTTATCACTATATGTTAACCGATCCATAAGACGGTGAACATAACCGAACTAAAATAGAATCTGTAGTTCAACGGTCCTATAGCCGATCATTTTTAGACCCATTAACGCTACGGACGTTCAAGTAATATTGCATTCTTTCGACTTTTTCTAATCACTAATGCTATGCTGTCTGTAAATCGCTTATGAACGTTTTCACGACCCAGCCTTAAGATATGCCGTCAACCCAGTACAACGTAGTCTTGAAATTTGAAGACTTGTTTCGATTTTATACAATTATCACAAACGAAAAGGATTGCAACTTATAAAAAGTCACTTGTTTTTGACATTCGATTCTCACTGTTATCTTACGATTACCTTCTCTCCTGTTGTGCTCTGTCGATCAATAATACAACATGAACGATAAATACCACGTGTAAAAGTCCGCAACATCGGAAACGCAGTGCGTAGCTCTGCGATTCACATTATTACGTTACACGCGTTTTATTGAATTTCCAAAATTGATAGATCGTTGACGCACGCGCCGACTGTAAGACCGCCCATTACCGCGAGCCCCGCGTCTACCACCGTTTTCGATGTTGTTCCTTCGATACCAGACAAACTACACAGCGGTACTAGGTTCACCAGGATTCCCCCCCACCGGTATCGAACAGAGTGATGAACAATTTCATCGGCTATCGGAGCCATCCGGCCGCGAACATCTCCGCGGGAGTTTCGGCCCCGGTCGACATTAGCACCGGTCGTCGTCGTCTACGCGCGAGACCACGTCAAATTCCGTCGGCCACCGTAATTCTGTTTCGTGCGCAAGTGCTCGGGCGGCGAATCAGCCGTTATCGACGTGTGTTCCGCGAACATTTATACTCCCGTCACCGAACCATACGGTTTTAACTGAACCGAAAAAGTTAGACCCTTTCGCTGAACCCACCGGATTCTCATTCGTTTGCGATCCCGTCTCTCAGATAAGTATGTTTCTTTTAACGGATAATACGCTGTGCGTAAAAAATAAAAAACAACTCGGTGGTATAGACTATATTGTACCTATTCGTGAACTGATAAAAGTACACGTTTCATGATCGACACGATCATTATATAATCATATTAATATAATTTCGCGGTGTTATAAATTTACGTTTGCCTTTTTAACAAGAAATGTTTACTAGTCCTTCACTATTCGATTTTTATACATCATATTACGAATTATATTATACTAAGGGTTGCCAGATTTTGAAATCTCTAGGCCGGGACGCATATAAGCATTATATACATGAGCTCGGCACCTGTATTAAAATTAAGCTTTACGATTGGTTTATTTGAAAATACTGCCAAATATCTATATTATTAAATAGTAATAATATTGTTATCATATTGTTATCAATTACATCACACATTGTTATACCTAATTATGTTAAAAATATAATTAAAAAAAAGCTGGTATAATTAAAAAGATACTGGTGATGAGTGTATAGCACTTTCTATTAAGAGATCACCTGGCTTACGATAGTTAAGTTGTATAGTATTTTAATTAGTATTCGGAAAAACGATTCTGAGTAAAACTCAGTGGATAGTAAATTTTTATAAAATAAAAAAATTCCATCAAAATGCAAACTTTAAACGCTTGTAAAAAAAAAATTGTGACTAACGATTATCGATACTTTTTCATCGTCGTTAGGAATACATATGAGTATTATAGTATTAAATTTTCAGTTCTTTATATCCAAAGGTTAAAAATGTACGAAGCAAAAACTCACAAAAAACGAGAAATTTACAATTTTTACATAGTGCTATATTTAGTTCAAAATTGGTTTAATGTTTTTGAAATTTTTAATGAGTATACGTGTGACAATTTTTAGTAGTTGATAAAAGTTTAAAGTTTCTAGTACCATTATTGATGGAGTTATAGCTAAAAAACTAAAATAGATTTCACGAAAATCCAGAATATGGCATTTTCCCCGTTTTTGTCAGTTTTTCGGTACTTTACGCCTACGCATGGAAAAAATATTGAGAAATTCGAAAAATGACTTCTCAAAAGTACCATCTTGGTACTTTTGAGATTTTTTCCTATATAGAGAGTTGCTGGATGAAACTTTTGGTCCAGTATATCTAACCGAAAAAGTGTTTTCATACATGAAAAAAAAAATAAAAATAAAAACACACGGAATTGTAAAACCATTACATTCTTTATTTCACTCAGAATCTAAAATGGATAGTGTAAAAGGAAGGTCCAAAAAATAATGATTGTCCAACAAATAATAATTGATGTTATATTTAAATTCAATAGGTACTAATTTTACATGTGAATTGTAATCACTAGGGAACGGATTTATATGTAATAAAAATACATAAATATGTACATATGTATGTACGTATAATTTATAAAATATGTACTAAAACCATCCAAATATGTAGGAAAAAATAAAATTATATTTATCAAATTATCAAAATGATTTGTTGCATTGAATTATTACAATATATTTTAAATTATCAAATATTAAATGTCGCCTATTAGATCTGAAAATATTTTTAAAACGGTTAAATGATCGTTCCACATCAACCTACGTTGGTTGATTAAAGCATATTTGAAAAAATAATATTAGAAGGAGATAATTCCAAATTTTTAGAAGGATGTCTGCCACTCATTATGTCATTGATTGATTTAAAATAAATATGGCCTGAAATTTTTTTCGGTAAAAATAGGGATTTTCTTTTTTACTACTTCTCCTATTGGTCCGTTTACGAGTTTTCATTTTGCAATCCTTGATTCGACAATTTTCATACTTTCATTCAAGGACATATTTTTGTTTCTAATTTTGTAAATGTATGTGCAATGAAAATAAAATTTACTGAGATGAAAATTAAATTAGTTTTCAATGTTTCATTTTGCATAATATTTTGAGCTTTTCTAATAGCGATAGAAGTTCTGGATATAAATTTGAAATAATTTCTTGTATTTTTGTACGAAGAAGACGTATGAATGATGAAATAATAAAATATGTTTAAAAATATTTACAAATTAGTGAAATATGTAAAAATATGTAATTATACCAAAATATGTAAAAATATGTAAAATAAAAGTAGCATCATATTAATAGGAATGATTTAAATCATGAACATTTCTTATCAAATTTTAAATATCTCGTTTTAATAAAAATATGTATTTACATATAAATCCGTTCCCTAGTAATCACTAATCAGTACCTATAATAGTATTAATGTTATCATAATGTGTATTGTTTTATATAGTTAAATTACAATAATAATATTGCTATCATAGAACTTTTGAAACTTTTATCATTATTTAATTAGGTATTGAAAAAGTTCTATATTATAATTATTAATAGTTATATTATAATACCTACTGTAATTGTGTAAATCACAAAGATTAATAATTAACCAAGACCACTGTTAAAGTACTCTTCAAATTGAATATTTAGGTAGGTTTACAATATTACTTGAATAAACAGTGCACCTTCCTATAAAATATAATAGTATAAGACATAATAATATACTAGTTACAAGGTTATTTTGATTTTTGCCTGACAATCACTATTTTTTGATAAATATTTGATTTCATATAATACATCATAATTCTATGATAATATTATTATTGATTATATAAACTATTTGGCGGTATTTTCAAATAAACCAATCGTAAAGCTTGATTTTAATACAGGTGCCGAGCTCATGTATAGAATGCTTATATGCGACCGGGATCATCATATTGAATGAATATTTTTTTCTTTTTCTTTTTTTTTTTATGCAACGTTCATATGAAAACAAAAATCAACATATCATTTTTTAATTTAAATATTTATTAACTAATACGAAAATACATTATTATTGTATATAACCAATCCGATCAGATAACCATGGCATAATGGTATAATGTACAATATTATTCTATGTATTGTTATTAAATAATACAACATTAAATCTTATTTTCTCTCGAGTTCTATTGACCGGGACAAAATTATATATTTATTAATATTTATTTTAATTTCAATGACCGGTTCCAAATAATTGGGAAAAAGAAAAAAGGGAAAAGAAGATATTATAATTATGTTATAAATTATTATTATTATTATTAATTATAATCATATTATATTGTATTATATTGTATTATACATATATTATTTTTTCAGTTCCATCATTAATGGCATCATCTCGTTATCTAATACTTCTTTTTCTCCCTCGCCTTTCTCCTAACTATTTGGGGTCGGCCATCTTTGTCCTAAGCCTCTACACTCTTCTCAATTTTCTCCATCTAACCTACGCACATATTACCTAATACTTCTAACATTATTTAATGCATGGTTTTTTTTTTTAGTGTGTAGTTAGACGCATTTTGTGCAGAGAGAAAAATAATCGATCAGTGAAAATTATTACTTTGTGCAGTGTAACAAAAATTCCTCGTTGTTATTTTATATTTTCTATATAGGATGATATAATTGTGTAAACTTCAAATAAAAAAAAAAAATTGTGTCAATCTTAATTTCGAAAATTGATTTTAGCGTCTTAGTTTTATCTTGTTTTATCTCTGATCGAATAATTTGGGTGGCAAACAGACAAATTAATTGTTATCTATAATTGTTTAATCGAACGATTAATAAGTGCTATTAACAAACTAAAAACTTTTGAAAGAGCAAGAATGTTAGTAGATATGTGTATGTAACGTTTATAAGTTTTATTTTAATCTTATATCTTTGATGTTTTATATAAGCATAATATTAAACATCAAAGTTATTTTAAATATCTAAATAATATATATATATATATATATATAAAATTACAAAAAAAAAAGTAAAAATATTTAAACATTTGATAAAACTTATTACAATTAAAGACGGATTATAAAGTTTATGAAACAATTCAAATTACTCACTAGTGCTATTTTCTCTACAGAATTTTTGAAAATGGCCAGGAAGAAGAAGAAACAGAAGACCGTACGTTTTTGCCAGCAACCCTTCCGTATTAGGAATATGGTTGTATGTGAAACAGTTTCAAATATATATCCCATATTATGCATGTGCAAATTGTGTTCCACAATTTGTTTAAGCGTCAAGGCAGCATACGATCACCGCGAAAAATGTCACCCGAAAGTTGCACGAAAGAAGAAACCTATACCGGCGCCAAAATCGTAATGCAAAATATAATGATATATGATTTACTTTATTTTTCTTATCTATTGATTTATTATTTGTTGATTATTATTTGATATTTTTTGTCTAATATGTATTTCTTTTTATTTCAGAAATATCAAAACTTTCAAATGTGAATGCTGCAACGTAGTATTCACAAGGTCAGCAGTATGGAAAAGGCATAAGCTTGAAATTAATAAACCTAAATCAAACGAAAGCGATCCGTATGAATTTAAACGTCAAACGGAGAATATTAAAAAAGAAATAGCGACATCATCTACAGATAAAGGAACTGACTTAACGGAGAATCAACCGTCAACGAGTGAGATGAACAACGTTATTCAGAGCCCCGAGTGTTCATCAACTACGAAGAGTGAAACATTATACCTAATCATCGAAGTAGTGCCTCGTTGATCTCGAACCGTTTTCCTTTAAAATGTATTTCTTATAAAATATCTACTCCTATAAATATATATTATTAAATGTGGTTTAAGTTTAAGTTCAAGTTTAAATAAAAAACTTATAATCAATTATTCATATACTTTCTGTTTTGTTGTTTTTTATATTAAAATATAATATTTGAATATCAATTTAATAATTTGCGTTGGTGTATTTTTATTTCTATTTCATTATTGTTTTAGCATTTTATTTAAATAAAATATAAATATATGTACCTATTGCATTCGAAATTTATTACATAATTGGCAGTTGGTACGTAATAGAAAATTATTATGATTTTTTAGTTAGTTAAAATTATATTATTTATTCATTTAAATGGTTATAGTTTATACACTGTGTATTTTGATTTGTAATAAATCTAAACAACAAGAAAAAAACGTGTGCGGGTGGTAAATAGACGATTTGTGTGATTATAAATACAAATATGTACATAAATGGTACTAGTGATACTACAATTATATAATGCATACAATAATGTGCAATAATGCACTAAGGCAATCGTTATGAATAAAGATTTTTCGTATTTAGCTTTGTAGCTATTTCGATTTTTCATAATTTTTTTACAGCCACTTTTGCTTAAACATTGGTTGGTGTATAATATTAATTGATTAGTTTATAATAATATTTAAAGTAAAATGCATATATACATATTTAAAAATGTTCACTAAATTAAATTGAAATGTAGCAGTCCGATAGTTTTGCAGCGGTGACATTTAAACATTTTTACTTTCATGACTGACATTATTCTACACAATATTGGACAGGAAATAAATTTTTACTGTGTTATACACATCATAAATTTCCTAAAAAAAACATCTGTAAACTTTAACATGTTCACCTCCGCATGTATATTCCTAGTCTAGTGCCACACGCCGCATTACTGTTGATAACATATTATGTGTGTCGATCACGGATCGTCGTATATTCTAATATTTAGTTTCATATTATTAAGACATTTTTTTTTTTAAATTTTGATGGATGTGAAATACGTTATTAAATATTTTAATTTACATTTATTGTTTTATAAAAAAAATAATTAAATAATATAAATAACAAATCTTTAGAATATAAAATAA